TAGGAATGTGTTTGTCTTGGAAATAGGTCTTCGGCTGTGATTTGATACATACATATATATACATATATATATATACACACACACACACACATATATTGCAGTAAAAAGTTTGGATTTTTTAATACTTTAGGAATGGGTTTAGGAATGTGTTTAGTAGGTCTTCGGCTGTGATTTGATTTGATATATATATGTGTGTGTTAAATTATAGTTAGTTGTATTTAAATATATATTTAACAAAAATTATGGTTAAAGTTTATGTGGAGTAAAATATACATGTGTAATATTTGGTATTTTTATGAAACTCAATTAAAAAAATATAAAAAAAATATTACACAAAAACAAAAGTTTCTAACTCAAATTTTTAGCAAGTTTCCAAGCATAAAATGCAATTTAATTTATTATTAAATATTTTATTGTATTTCTTTCACTACAAATATAAAAATTAGTAAAACAATAGATACAGTGCTTGAAAACATTGTAAGAAAAAAACTAATTTATTTTTTAAATTTTTTTAATTAGATGATAGAAAAAAAAATTAAAAATAAAAAATATTATTTTAATATATTTTTAAATAAAAAATACTTAAAAAAACAAAACAAAATACCACCTGCATTAAAAGTGATCTTTGCAATAACGTAATTACATTTAACTCTTCCAGGATCTTCGTTGGGTGCAGTTTCGGAGGCCAGGTTAGGACGAAGGGTTACTTTGATTTATCTTCGTAGGTTTTTGAGATTATTTAAAAAAGAATTCCGTTTTATTTAACGAATAAACTAATCCACGGATATAGTCAATGTTGAATAAGAAAAATAGTATACGAAGGAGGACAAAAGAAACCAAAAGGTTGGAGGGAGATTCGTTCATTTCCTTCACTTTTAAAATTTACACCTTGAAACAACACTCAAGAAAATTTATTAAATTCCTTTAATTACACTAGACTGCAATTTTAAAATAGTTCGAAGATGAATTTCAGTTCATTTGATGTTAAAAAAAATAGATTTAGAAATAAATAAATAAAATACATATAAACAATTCCATAAAATAATTAACATATACTATAACAGCTTGACTTTTCACTATAACAATAAACAATAAAAAGCTAAGTATTTTTTCATTTTAATACTCGAGATTTTTTATGATTTTTTTAATTTTGAATTTTTTTTCTTTAATTTTATCATTCAAGTTCAACAATGGATTTACTAGGTATGAAATTTTATAATTTATTTCAATTTATATTTTATAGAGTTATCCTAAATTTATGGCATGGATTGCAAGTTTTATAATTTATTTCAATTTGTATTTTATAGAGTTATCCTAAATTTATGGCCTGGGTTGCAAGTTTTATAATTTATTTCAATTTGTATTTTATAGAGTTATTCTAAATTTATGGGCTGGGTTGCAAGTTTTCAAATTAACCATGTTGACTTGAGTTATTTTTTGTTTATTTTTTATTTTTTAATTTTATCTTTCAGCATTAGATTGATTGAAAATCAGATTTTATAATTTTTTAAAAATAAAATAAAAAATAAAAAAATACAAGTTTTTGGTTTCACTTTCTCTACATAGATATACTATAGGATCAATGAGTGGATTTAAGATTTCTCTATCAACATCTTAACCTAGAAAGCGTAATCTTCCTTGATTAAGTTGGTTGATTATAATCAAATTATATCTCTTAAGAATTGTACATGCATCTTTTGATGCATATGATTTATAAAATATCACAAAAAAAAAATCAATATGTAGATCTCATTTAATAAATAACGAAGGGTTTTTTTTCTTTATTTTTTAAAAAAGATGGTTTTTTTACCCATTTGCCTATAAATTTAAAAAATTCATTAAACTTATCAAACTAACTTCTCATTTATGTATTCCTTTATCATGATCCAATTCAAATCATAATAACATTCTCTTGTTTCTTAGTAGGTTTTTTGAATTCTTTTACGTTTTTTTCTCTACTCCGAGTAAAAATCTGCTTGATTTTGATTTGTACATATAAGGAAAATGCTTCAATATCGTGTCTTTTTTCTATAACTTTCTTTTTTTCAATTCATTTCACTCTTTTAGTAAAATATTTGATGTATTTATCAAATTATTTGATTGATTATAATTAGTAGTTTGAAATTACTCCAATTTCTAATTTATAAATAGAATATGATACAAATAGTGATCATGGATATGATATTAATTGGGTTTTTCTAAGTGGAGTCTGAATACTTTATTTTTATAGTTTAAACAAGCCAACCATAAATTATTCTAGTTGATAATATTAATTTGAATACCTCCAAAGCATATATCTAATTGCACTTTATAGCTATTTCACGCTCTAATTTTTAGATGATTTACTCAATTTTTTTTTTGTGAAACAAAGGATATCTTAATCGGGGTAGAGAACAGGTAAATCTCATAATAACTCAATATCTTTGACAAGTTGTGCTATGTGTCAATATAATTTGAATTATTCTATTTGGGATTTTGAAAACAAACTTTTAAAACACCAATAGACATTAAATGAAATCAAAAAAATAAAGTACTCTAGGTCACTTTGGTGTAAAAGCATAACAATAAATATATTGTCTTAATAATATTATATGAATTTATTCTTTTAATAATATTATATTGGATAATGGCATTTGTTTTGTTATTTTCATGTTTTATTTTATTTGTTATTTGTACATATTCAATAAGTTCACAACAAAGGAAAAAAAAAGACAAAATGAATGAAACAAGCTTCTTATTAATAGGCTATATGAATGATGAAATCTTTCAAAAAACAAGGTATATTTTGAATAAACCAATTCATTTAAGACCCTGTAGACCAACTTTTTTTTTTAATTCAAAGATCAACTCCTTATTTATATGTTTGTATATCAAGAATTCTTTACAAATAAAAAGATGTCAAAGAGGATTCTTACTTTCCAAAGAGATCATCCTACATCTATATATAAACATTGGTTTATCAAGGATAGACAAGACAAGCACTTCAAATTATTGATTTATCATGAGAGATGGCTTAGAACCAAAAGTTCATTATCTAATGAATTTTTATGTTATAATACTCTAATGAGAGTTATCAATATTTATCAATTTTGTTCATATTTAACAGAACGCTATTAGATTAAATGCCAAGATATTGTTGAGAAAAAATAATTTTTTCAGATAAAATAAAAATTAAATTCATATAATAAAAGAAAGGTTTCTCATTCCTTACCCTGAAGCTATGAAATAAAAATTAAATGGAACATAATTGATTGGATATTCCAGTTAGATATTCAATTTTTTCGATTTGAATTATCCAAAAAATACCTTATCCTATATTTTATCAAGAAAATAGACAATCAAGCCTGTTTTATTCAATAGAAGCTAAAATGGATGAATATAATAGTATAATAGGTAATAAGGTCTCAAATAAGAATATATATATATATATATATATATATATATATATATATAGAGAGAGAGAGAGAGCAAATACAAATAAGAAAATGAGGAGTTTTTTTTGTTAATTTTGATTGAAATGCAATATATGAAAATGTTTAACATGATATTTCAATCGTTATAGATTTTCATAGAAATGTTAATAATTTGTTTTCAATTATTATGTATCTAATATGAAAAAAAAATATCATAAATATTTAATTATATTTAATTTTTTTATTATTAAAATTTCTTTAATGAATTCTTAACAAGATTTCATCACATTTATTATTATTTTTTCTTCAATCATATAAAAAGTATTGAGACTTGGACAATTTTTATTGTAAAAGAAATTATATGAATCATGAAAAACAATTTTAATAAGAAAAATACATTTTTCTCTTATAATTTTATACATTGTCATTGTCTATTTTTATAACTGATTAATAATTAAAAAAGGATTTTAAAAGACAAGGTTATGAACCCAACCAAGAACATGACCTAGGGTGGATTAACTTAATTTGATCTTTATCAATCTAAAACATTGATTTATTTTTTATGTAAAAGCAGCTAAACTAGCATTGTTTTATTTTTATTTTTTTTCTTTAAAAGTTAAGCCCATGTTTTTTTCAGGTTATTCGATTTGCGGATGCACCCACTAGATTGGCGACGTCATATGGAATCTACTTTACCAGCTCATCATGTCAACCCACCATGTCACATTAAGCAGCTGACTGGTGGCTTCAAGTTCTACTCTATTTGAAACCAATTTTGGCTTTGCTTAGTTCTTGTCTCCCATTTAATTTGATATGAAAAAAAAAAATACTGTAAATTTACTATATTGCCTTAAGCGATGAGACCCAAGAAGAGAATCTCCCCCGTTCCTTTCGCAACACTTCCCCTCACTTTCCATGACTTTCATCTACGATGGATCTCTTAAATTCTGGATTTCAAGCTCGTGGCTTGATGCATGGCGGTGGTATCATGTAAGTGATGTGGTTTCAAGTCTGTGTAAAAAGTCGAAAGTTGTAATAATTGATGGGTTTTGAAACGGGAAGGTAACGATAAGAACTGGAAGGAGCTTGGAATTGCTGTGGGTGGGTATACAAAGTTATTATGTTCTCTATTTCTTGGCCCAGTCTCAGCAAAACCAGCTAATCAGTATTTCCAAGAGCAAAATGATGCATGTAGCGGCTAAGGCAAGTCCATGAACGGAGTAGCTAAGAAAACGCTTACTGACAAACAATTCATTTTATTGCAGCTCTTCTTAGCCTCAGGCGAATATGACTCTCTACACTTCCGGTTAAAGCGAGTCAAAGATGGTAATGCAAGGAGAGAGCTCTGAACTCTATGAGAGAGCCTTGAATGAAACATGTACTAATGCTTTATAACCTAAAATAGGAGCACTCCAAGAAACCTACAAGTTTATGCCGGAGCACGCTAGTAAAAGAATTCGAAGAAAGCCAGTTTTTTTTTTTAAAAAAAAAAAAATCTTCACCAATTCCACCACCAAGTCAAATGCAAGTCCATAGACTAGCCATCTCCCTCTCTCATGCGGCGACAAACACATGGGACAGGACGGCGAGGGAAAGAACTATCCTTGAAAACAGCTAAAAGAGTCATCAAATCCATTGGCCTATCTACCAAGAGGTCCAAGACTCGTAAATTAGAAAGTAATCGAAGCAAAGCACCTTCAAAATTTTTAGTCTGACAACATCCATCTGCGCCCTTTGCTGAAGGTTCATCAGTCCATAACATTCACCTTCTCCGCAGCTAGATTTGGTAAAATCGCCACAGCCTCTCCATCAATAACGAGAAGCTTATCGTTCTTGAAGCACTTTGTCGAGAATTTGACTCTGATCATTTAACAACCAGAAACCGAGTCAAGCGCTGCTATCATTACTTCAGGACAAAAACAGAAAGCGTAATGTAGCTTACATGTATCTACTCTTGTTTTCTCTTATATTAGTAGCTTGTACCTCTCCAATAACTGCATCTCCAATATATACAGGGCTTTTATAATGTAGGCTTTGAGAAACATATACGGCTCCAGGCTACAAAAGTTTAGCAATCTCAACATCAACTGTCAATTGAAGAATGAAAAGCCAATAACTTGAATCTTAAAAAAGAGGGTAGGAGTCATGACTTACAAAGTGGGATGCAATAATCCGAGGAAATAGAGCAGCAACCAGCATTCCATGGACAAGCCGATCCTCAAATCCAGCATTCCGGGCAAATTCAGAATCGAAATGCAATGGATTGGAATCATGACTCGCCTTTGAATATGCAGTAACGTCCTCGTTTGTGAATATCCTTGTTTGTCTTAAAGTATCTCCGGTTTTCAGAACCTGCCGTGGAGGCGGGGCTGTCCCTGAAAAGTTTCTCGTACAAGGGACTGAACTCGAAACCAAACTTCTGATAAGCATCCTGTTTCTACTAAGCATTTTAGCAAACACTTGGAGTACGTACCAGCAATTGCTTTATTATTAGTAAAATGGGAAACGGGTTCGATGACAAGAACTTGCTAATCAGCAACAAGCATTTTAACAAACATTTGAAGTGCATTCAATCAAGCATGAGAGTAATTCTAAGGTTGGGTGAATTTCAATTTGTGGTGGTTTTTCAACACGTTTTGTTGACGGCTTCTAGTAGCACTGCATGGCTTGTGGTTCTAGTACAGGTGCCATTCTATTCAGCTGTTGTGGAGTTGAGGCGGAAAGGCTAGTCACGTGCCGGCGCTCCACGCTAAAAAAAAAAAATGCAATCACCGGCGACTTCTCACGGGCTCACCCATGAAAAAAAATCTTATTGCATGACAAAAAAAAAAAAAATACTGCTCTAACGCTAACCACAGTATTGATATAAAGGACATACGTTGTGTGGGAAGAGCTTTTAAATTTTTTTATTTGATAATATAACAATAAAATTTCTTTTTATAAAGAAAATAATAATTTCAACTCTATTTAAAAAGATAATTTTCTTACATAATTTCTGCATTTTTTATCCATTTATTATTTTTCTTAAAAAAAACATATTTTTCCTTGGTTCTTAATCCGATAAGAATAAAAAATAATGAGAATAAAAAAACAATAAGAATCAACAAGAAAAATTCTAGATGATTTGAGATTTGAGATAAAAATAATAAAAAAAGGATTTTTAAAAAATTAAAAATTCATTATCTCATTAATTTCCTTTGCTTTTTTTAGTTGGAATAATTCTTTTTAAACAATTTATCAAAACCATGAATGCAAGTTTTAATAATAAATATTTATATATAATGTGAATGTATTAGGAAAGAAAAATAATCATAATGCACTACTCATATGCTGAGACAAGAAACTTTTCAGAAACTATTTTTTTAACAAATTACATGAATATAAAAAAAAAATTCACAAAAAAGCCAACAAATAAGATAATGGAGGGAAACTATAGTTTTTTTTTTTCAAAACCTTCTTTTATGAGTCATGTTGTATTTTCTTCTTCATAAGAAGCATAGTTTATTAAAATAAAGTAAAAACAAATTCAAAAGAAGATATTTGTGATAACTATAATGACTCGAGCTTAATTTTCATAGAATATTCATGACCATTAAAAAAATAAAAAATAAAAATCTGCATTTCACATGAAATAATTATTGAAATGATGCAAATATAAAAAAGGCAAGATCCCATTCAAAAATAAAAGCTGGTTTGATTGATATCCAACAAAATAATATATCAACTCTAAATTTTTAAGTGGAAAATAATTATGATTGTGAAAGCAATCTTAAATCTAAAAAATAAAATAAAATAAAAAATAAAAACAATAATATGAAAACTAATGGTAATTAAAAAGCTAATGGTAATAAAAGCATGGTTTATTGGATAAAAGCTAATGGTAATTAAAAAAATATTAGTAAAGATTCTAATTACTTGAATTAAAAAGGAAAAAATAAATCTTCTTAATCAGAAAACTCCCTATTTTATTTTTAGTTTGATAAGAATATCTTTTTATTATAACTATTGTTTTTTATATAAAAACTTATTATGATCGTGAAAGCAAATTTCAATTAAAAAAATCATGAATCAATTATTTTTATGCATTTATAATAATAAATAGATGAATAACATATCTGAAAAAACTATTTAAAAAATTTATAAAATAATATTTTATTTTTATATAATATCGATGAGAAAATTTATAATTATCCTGATATAAATAATTCTTTTTTAAATTATGCATATTAGGCTAATATATAATTAATTATAAAATAATTATTAGTATTACCATGAAAGTTTAAATCTTCTTGAAAACTATGATGTTATGTTATTTTAATAAATTTATTTTTAAAAAAACTTATTTTAATTTTTTTTAAGGTTAAGGAATATTTAATAAAAAGTTGGGTAGATATGGACTTAGGAGGGCAAGTCCATATACCTAGCCCAAAAGAAAACCCCGGAGATCAGAATGTCACCATCCGAATTATTACAAGAAAAGATGTTCGAACAAAATAAGATTTATAACCCCATGAATAATTCGAGAAGTGTCTGAATTAAGCTTATTCGGTTGCCATAGCTTAACTTGAGCTTGCTTCTTGTGAGGAAAGGAAATACAGAAAGGGGTATGGTTGCTGCATACATGTAACCATGGCTAAGTCGTTTCTCCATGCACTAGTCAACGTCGAGTTCTGGTATTTTGTGTCTTGTTTCCCGAAAGAGAGAATCTTGGAGGATGCCCGGGAACACGTGGAGAAGGGTTTTTCTGTCACCAAAACTCCTCTCTTTTTTTCTCTTTTTTTTTTCCTTATTTGGAGGTCTATCATGCTATAGCTACGCGGTGGTCGGCGGTTCATTTTTCGGTTTCACAATTATTGACTTTTTTTCAATCAATGCAACGGACGCCCCGCCCTAGACAACATTTTCTCAGAAGCCCATATCAAAGCTAACAATATTCTCAAACAGATGCCTCCCTAAGTCTAGCCTGGCATTCAAGCCATCTTTGATGAGTTAATCTCAGGGAAATTCGAACTTCGTTTAATCTGGAGAACTTGCGTGTGGCTGGACCCAAGACCTTGTATAAACAAGGCATACATATCGAAACAACGGGAACAACTTCTAGTGCATATCTAGGCCAGCAGCCCGCATGGTTCATAAACTTACAGCTAGTGTCAATGCACAAGCACAACGAATATTTTGATCAGTCATTTCCTCTCCAAAGAACCCTTTATTTTGATTAGTTCGCCTTCGTTACTTGTCTGAAAGTGTCCGTGATTTTAAAAGGAGCATAATTAATTGCACAAGTAAGCAGGGGAAAACGAGAGAGGGGTATCCATGTCGATGATACCCTAATGGAAGCAGGCAACTTTCCTTTATACCTTGTAACTGTTGTTGTTATGACCTTTTAGTGTGTGTTTAGTAATACAATATAGGTGTTTTTCACTTGAAAATGCATCAAATTGATGCTTTTTAGGTGTTTTTTATTGGTTTTGACATCTTCATATCAAAACCATCTAAAATCACTTTAAAAATCATCATTTTGATGCTTTTATTGTCTAGACACGCTTTGGAAAGCAATGAAGCTTGTATTACTAAACAGGTCCTTAAATGCACTTAAAATCATGTAATATGGCATGCATTCCCAATACTAAAATAGCAAGAGAATACAGTTACGTCCAGTGGCGTGAGATCTTGATCAATATCAGAGGGCATAACCTACGTAAACAGGTAATATGAAGAGGGGTGGTAAAAGCATTCAATGAAGCTGTATTACTAAGCAGGTCCTTAAATGCACTTGAAATCATGTAATATGGCATGCATTCCCAATACTAAAATAGCAAGAGAATACAGTTACTTCCAGTGGCGTGAGATCTTGATCAATATCAGAGGGCATAACCTACGTAAACAGGTAATATGAAGAGGGGTGGTAAAAGCATTCTCAACCAGGGTTTTCATGCTTAACTGAGGTCCACTATCTCTTTATAGCCAAGGGAGCTCCAGTATTAAAAGTTCAAGAGACAATATTTCAAGAGAGAGAAACTGGGTCAGGAGCATATGAGTATTACACATGATAAAAGGTATGATCCAGTTAATAGGTGTGCTTGATAATAGTGTTTATACAGGGTTTGAAGATCATGATTTCTTACTCGGTTGTCTATTCATTTGCTTTTCCTTCAATGATCCTCCATTGTGCCACGTTATATGTTGCCTGCAAATATACAGGAGTAGCATCATAAATTTGGACTTGAAATTATTAAGATGTTATTCTGTCAAGGATATTCAGCTAACTACCATTCCTGAAATTGTAGAAAAGCCACATAATGCAGAAAGAGACAACAAATTCAAGGCATTAGATAGGAAAAAACTTGGTTATAAAATGTGGAATGAGCAAAACAACTTCTATATTAGGCGAGGAGAATTGCCCTTTATACAAGATTTGCACATATAATCTCAGAGATTTTTAAAATAATCCATGAAGACATATGATGAGACTTCCCCGTAACAAACTCCCATTTGGAGCAGTTTCTTACTGAGGTTCATACATCTTGTATTAATCTTACTGTTTTTAAAGTGAACAAGACAGGAAAAAAGAAATGAAACAATTTTACCACTTATGTTGTAGCAAAGAATATTTGGATCCATATCTTCAATTGCTTCTTTAACTAGTCAGACTTCTTCATTAGACTCAATAGGACACCTGCACCAAGACTTGTTGCCACAAATCCAAGGGACACCTCGGTTGATATGTGAAAACCTGCATTAAAAAAAATGAAATCTTGAGCTTGAGTGAAATGAAAATTTATCAGGAAGTAGAACCAGTAAAGGGCTAGAAGATCCCACCCATAAAATCCAGAATCATTTTGCATCCAATGAAACCTAGAACAATAGCTATCGATGGCTGAGGAACACAAACGCAAGACAAAAAAAAAAGATCCTGTAAGTATAGAATATAGATTCATACTTGTCAACATAGAGTGACTGAAATAACTGGACACAGTGACAGCAAGTTAGTTTATGAACTGCACAAAGGAGGTAACTCCTCTCATTCCTTGGATGTTTCACAGATTAACCTTGCCTAAACCAGAACATGAATTTTATCTAAGGCTTGATGTGTCTGCATGTAAGAAATCCTTATGGGTATTGAGTGGATAGATGATGCAATTGTACAGAGAATTGCAAGTGACTTGCAGTTGATAGAATTCAATTACAGTTAAGGTCTTCTCATGTGCTTTCCTATCTTACCCTGATCTCTCATTTGAGCAAATACATTTTGCCATCCAGGAAATTTTGATATTTAAGGTTGTTTCTCCTTGACAGAACATCAAAACATAGAAGTTCATTGTATTTATTCCGAACCACATCATCCCTAGCATGAACAACTTTCATCTAATAGAAATATTTAATGTGGCAACCTAGATTGTCTAATAATGGTTCTAGCATGGAACAAACCACAAAAACTATAAAATGAAGGAAATGAGAGATCAGGTGCATCATGACTGTCTTGCACAAAATTGCTAAAACAAACACACTAAGAACCCATGAAATCGGGTGCATCATGACTGTCTTGCACAAAATTAAAGTGGAGTACACGGCAGAAGTCAATGATTCATGTAAACAATAAAAACAATTTACCTGTAAATACTCCAAATCTGCCATACCCTCAGAAATTAGTGTGTAAAGAGACCTCAGACCTACATTAGACAGGAATGTGGCCAATCAGCTTCTAATGGAGTCATCTCTTATTTGACTTCAGAAGTATTCCATAATCAATAGAGATACGTCTGTCGTTCAATTATAAGATAACTCAATTGTAGAAGAAAAAAGATACAAAGCAATAGCAGTTTAAAATTGAAGATGCA